CTTTTGCATGTATACATGATTGCTTAATTTTGCAGTGTCTTTTGATGCAGGTGACAATGTCATTGTGGGTAGCAAAGATGGAAAACTATGTTGGTTTGACATGGACCTGTCATCTCAACCTTATAGGGTTCTCAAGTAAGTCACTGCATTAAATTGCAGTGTTAAGAATTTACGTTTGAAAGCTTTATATGAATTTTTGCAAACATTTTTAGTGTTTTGGGAGATGAAAAAGATGCATGTGTATTTGGTTAAACTCTCCAAGTCTGTCTTGTCAGATTTATGCACTGCAACCAAGAAAAATGAACGAAGTAGAATTTTGCATGGCAAAGATAGATAATATAGTTGAAGTGAGACAAATAATTCATAATGAATTAGTGCAATACAAGTGTGGAAGCAAGATAGCAAATTATTTTTAGAAAACAAAAAGGCATATTGAAAGTTTTATGTTTCTGATCGCACGAACTGCATTATGCATTTTGCTTTGTGCAACTTGAATGATGCGTGGAACATGTCTATAATCTGTAAGACCTATATAATGAATGTTGACCTAGATTGTGCTAACCAGCTGGAAGAATCTGCCTGGTGACGTAAAATCCCTTATGGATGGTGTAGAATATGCACAATCATGCAAAAATTGTGGTTGTATTTTCTGCACCATTAATAATTGTGTTTAATTGGTTTTTCAATTTCAGTTGCCATCCAAAGGACATTACCAGGGTGGCGTTTCACCGTTCGTACCCTTTGTTTGCGTCAAGTTCTGATGATTGCACAGCATATGTTTTCCATGGCATGGTGTATTCAGATCTGAACCAAAACCCATTGATTGTACCATTGGAGATTCTTCGTGGGCATGCTAGTGTGAATGGAAGAGGTAACTTGTTGATTCATGGATTTTATACACTTCGGAATGTTGATGGAAAAGGTAGAAATGATGGAATTGATATGAATTTCTTGTTGGGCCTGAGCTTGCTTGCTTAGATTGGTTGAACTGTGAATGCTGTGCCTCTCTAGTCACTCTTTTTGTCATTTCTAGAATTAAATGATGATTATAAACTTGGGCTGCATGACAACCAGTAATGTTGGTAACTCTTTGAAATGTTCGTCATGCTGACTTTTTACCTGTTGAGTTCTTTTTTAAATGTTTGGATTTTTGGTGTAGTAGGATATTAGATAAAGCTTTTTGCGCTGAGCGGTTTTATTAGGTTTATCTCCTTCATATAGGGGAGATGATCCTAATTTATGTCGTCATGATTTGACTTTGAAGGAAAGGGATGTGGGCCTTGGTTAGTTTGACTCAAATTTTCTTTGATTATGCAAGTTTAAATTCTGGAGGACTTCCTTCTTTGATTTCATCATCAGAATTATCGGAAAATGGTTCATGCTCACATATATGGTGAACAAGAATATGAATATGATTATGTGCATAACTGTTATTACTTGTAGCACCATCACCTAAAAAATCCTGCAGAGTGCTATCGTATTAGATATAGGCACCACATGATGCTGCCTGTTGGCCTAGTAATATGATTGCCTTCTCCAGAGACACTTCGGAGGGGTAGGGAATATTTAGTGAGGGGGGAAGGCAGCTTTTCATCATCTGCTCTATCCTGTGATCTCAAGAAGGAAACTCAATGTCAGAAGTGGCTTTATCTAATCATCTCTAATCATGTTTTTATTTTGTATGCTGTTGGCTTCTAAGACTTTTACCATTTGTGATCCAGTTATATACTCTTCCGAGCTAATATAGTTGGTTTCTTTGGATGAGTGAGTGATACCAGCTTGTTTACGTATATCAATAGTTCTGATCTCATGTAGAACGTCTCAAAATTTATTATAAAAGAAACATGTAGGTGTATAATCAATCATTGGCTGAAACATTGCTCTTTTCAGGAGTCCTGGACTGTAAATTCCACCCTAGGCAACCTTGGTTATTTACTGCTGGAGCAGATTCTGTGATCAAGCTCTATTGCCACTAATTAGATGGTACGATCGTCCTCCTTGATGAGTTGTGGATCAAGCGTCAATATGCGGCTAAGATCAAACAGGGCAAATTTTGACTTGTGTGAATTGAGCTGTATGCTCTTTCCGTCTTATACGACAATTAAACACATTACAGTCCATTTAAAATGATGGACTATTGACATTATTGTTGGTTGTTAAAAATTTCCTCCTTTTTGCTCTGTATCCAATTTTGGTCATGTAGGTTATGAAATGCGGAATCCCGTTACATATCTTTGTAAAAAGAATGCTAGATATCATCCTTTTTGGTTTTTTTTTTTTGGCATGTGTGTTTTTGGGTTGTTTTCTTGATAACCACCATCATCAGACGATTACTATTGCTGATTTGCTGTGTTTGAATGGTGGTGATGCCACCTATCAGCTAGTCAATATCTGAATATTCAATATGGATTAATCAGAAAAAAAACCAACTCATTTTTTGGTACCGCTTCTCGTATTGCATGAACTAGAGAAGTCAGAGATTTTTTCGTCCGTCCGATAAAGAGGGTTTATAATGATAGAATGCACCCACCCTTAACATAGTGAGTTTTTACTGTAAAGCAAAAGGCAAGAAGATACACCAGGAGAGAGTCGAAATGGAACCCGGTAAACGAACTCAAGTTTGTAATGCAACACGTAAAGTCTCCGCTGCTGCCTCAAATAAATTTCTGTATATTCATCAATTATTGAAACTGATGCTAAAACATTGCGGTCGGGACTGTACAGAACGTAATTAATTACCCAGGGCAAATGTCAAAGCATCCCTCTGTACCGTATGGATCATGCTAGTCTTTTTCAGTACTGCTTGATTTGATTCTCTTTTAACATAATTCAACATTTTCATACTTGGCTGTCCAACTCTGGGATGGCAGTAAAAAGTTGAATATAATGGTTTGCCTTTTCTACATTTTCTTCGTTCAACTCAAGGCCAGTTTCCTCATCTGGCATTGATTCAACAGCAACAACAACTTCAGGGATCTTTTCCACCGGTCGACGTTCATTGTCATTACAGAGCTTGGACGAGAACCGCATGCTCCCTGTAGCTTGAGCTTGACAACATTGCCATCAATTTCATGTAATGCCACGTTACCCCCAATCTGCAATTAGGTAGGGACGAATTTCAGGTTGCCAACATTGCCATTCTTTTGGTGCCTTGCATCCTGGTAAATACATTTCTTCCCATTCTTTTTTTCTTTATTTTTTTTGCACCACGAACATACATGCTGTATAATCAATGTTTTTTTCGTAATTTTCAGCTTTGGTCTGAAAATAGAAAAGGTTTTGCAGCAAGATATCTGTTCATTCCAGGTCAGTTTACCTTTGATTTGTATCATTAATTTGCTGAAATTTTGTTAATATTATATGGGATGATATTTTAAATATTTTAATATTACTGTTATGTGCCTATATGTTTGGCTATTTACTCTTATGATAAGTTTTTGCTTATGCTTCTTAAGAAGATATAGCTGCACTTTACTGGTTTTATTTTATGTGGTATTTTAAGGCATCGAAATATTCATAAAGTATATTTGAAAAAACATTATTTCTTATTGGCCAAAACATCAGTGATTATCCCCCCCCCCCAATTTATGCTTGCCCTTCCGATTTACATTCTATGTACACTATCTCATCTCCCAACCATGCAATTCTTTTTTTTTTTTTCCCAGAAAAAGGAGAGAATCAAAGAGGGGAAAACACTGTACCTCTCCCCTCCCCACCCCTATCTGCTTTCCTAGCCAAAAACACGAAGAAAAACTCACATTTTCGCATCAATTTTCAGGCATTTGATGAGTTTATTGTTGAGTTTTTCTAGCCTTTTTTTTATTTCCAAAATTGACCTCCTAGCATAAATGTTTGCTTTTGTTATTGTTGATTGTTTTGTAGGTTTGAAAGAATCAAGAAGAAGCACAGCGAAGTAAACATCCAGTGTTTAAGGTGTGTGATTATCTCTTACAACAGTAGCATGCTTTGTGTTTGATGATTTGCTTCTAAAGGTAGCTTTACCACCACACTGGTTTAGTTTTCTGAAAATTTACGTGTCCCATTGTTACGGAGTATTAAATGATTTGAGAGATGTTGTTTAGCTCACTGTTTGGTTCTAAACAAAAATGATTTTACTTTTGCCTTTGTGTTTGTTTGCTGAATGATCCTTTAATGTCTTGCAATGACTCGAACTATCTTTAAATTCCATTGGAAACAATACTTTGATAGACCTAGAAACATTAATTTCATCAATTGTTTTTGACTTTTACTGCATTGTCATGTTAGTGACTATCATAGTTTGGACCAAAGACCAGCTAAAGAGTAGTTTCCCAGCTTCTACTGTCTTGGCTCTAATTTTCCACATGTTTTGGGGCTCAACAAGTAGAATCTGCACTCAATCACGATTTGTTTGATATAATTTGGTTTCTGTTTAAATTTTGGTTTTAGGAACTGGTCATGCACTGATTAATTTCTGGCATAGATGAGCACTTCTGAATTCTATGCCTTGGTTCATTGAAAGGGGATTATTCAATGGTTGGATCCTAACTTTTTTGTTGTTTCAGAGCGGCAGGCGGCCGGGAGGGGGGAAGGGACAAAGATTTCTAACATATCTTAGTCCTCAATTATTTTGCAGCTTCCTTGTTATATTAGTGTCTCTGGTTTTGCACATGGACGTGGACTTTGCTTTAATTACCCTAATGCTATAATGGTTTACACATGGATATGGTTTCTGAACATGACACAATTAAGATCTTCCATGTTCTATTAATTTAAAAAATGAGAGTTACTAGGAATTTTTCAATATTTTTTAGACAACAAATTGGGCATTGGCACAACCAGAAAATTTCTAGTAACAAAGATAGCTGTAGAAATGAAATCTCGAGCTCGGGTGTGTTTGGATTGAGAAGATTTGAAAAAAATTAATTTGCTTCACAAATTTTAATCACCTTTTTATCTCACAGACATCACATCACAAAAAATGCTACGATAATTATCTCAAATAAATCATCCAAATAAACTCCTATCCAAACAAACCCACCTCACCACCAGCCGGCTGGCCGTCTACAGACTAGGGGGGTCGAAACAATCCTACTGAAATCAATTCTTGATCCGCTGCCATGGGAAAGAATGAGTTCCTGACGCCAAAGGCAATAGCGAATAGAATCAAAGCAAAAGGCTTACAAAAACTCCGATGGTATTGTCAGATGTGCCAAAAGCAATGTCGAGACGAGAACGGCTTCAAGTGCCACTGCATGAGCGAATCACACCAGCGGCAGATGCAGGTTTTTGGCCAAAACCCTAATCGAATCATCGACGGCTATTCCGAAGAGTTCGAACAAGCATTTCTCGAACATATGAAGCGTAGTCACCGCTTTAGTCGCATCGCCGCCACCGTGGTATATAACGAGTACATCGCCGATCGCCACCATATTCATATGAATTCAACTCAGTGGGCAACTTTGACGGAGTTTGTCAAGTATTTGGGGAGGACTGGCAAGTGTAAAGTTGAGGAAACTCCGAAAGGGTGGTTTATTACTTATATTGATCGTGATTCGGAGACCTTGTTTAAGGAGAAGATGAAGAATAAGAGGATTAGGGCTGATTTAGCAGAGGAGGAGAAGCAGGAGAGGGAGATTAAGAAGCAGATTGAGCGTGCCGAGCAGCTGATGCCAGCTGGGAATGAGAGCGGGGATGGGAATGAACAGGAAGTTCAGGAGAAAAGGTTGTTTGAGAAATCGGAGGAGAAAATCAAGTTAAGTTTGGGGTCATCGTCGAAAAGTAATCTGAAGGAGGAGGGTTCTAGGGTTGTTTTTGATGATGCGGAGCATGAGACTAAAAGCGACAAGGGGAGTAAGGGCAGTGGAAAGATGGGGAGCTCAGTGTTGGATGAGTTGATGAGGGAAGAAGAGAAGGCGAAGGAGAGGAGTAATAGGAAGGATTATTGGTTGTGTGAGGGGATTATTGTGAAGGTAATGAGCAGGGCGCTGGCAGAAAAGGGGTACTATAAGCAGAAGGGGATGGTGCGGAAAGTGATTGATAAGTATGTTGGGGAAATTGAGATGCTAGAGAGTAAGCATGTCTTGAGAATTGATCAAGAAGAGCTTGAGACTGTGATTCCACAAATTGGGGTACTTGTGAGAATAGTTAATGGGGCTTATCGAGGGTCAAATGCTAGGCTGCTTGCTGTTGATACAGATAAGTTCTGTGCTAAGGTGCAGATTGAGAAGGGGATTTATGATGGCAGGGTGATTAAGGCGGTTGAGTATGAAGATATCTGCAAATTGGCTCAATGAAAAATGTTGACAAGAATGTACTAACTGTATTGTGATCAAGTAAGTGGTAGTTGTTCTGCTCTCCAGAGTTGTTCAGTACCATGAAAGTCTGCATCTCTTATGAATGATTGCAATCTTCTTTCTTGTGATTATATTGAGCAGTCTGCTCTGTTTCATGCCATTCCATGCTTTTCTGAATGTGTTAAGCATTCTGGTCTCCGTAGGTTATGCGCCATCTTTCACGCTACTTGTGGTACTTGTATGAATGAGGGGCCTGGAATTTGTAAAGGTCTGGTTCCTTAAGATCATCACTTCATTAAAACTCTTTTGCATTCTTCTTTAGGTTGCCTGAGTTTTATAGTACATTCTTTTACTATATTCCTTTCAGCTGGTAAATTACTTTTTTTGTAAAGTTGAGATTTGCTTGGCTTAACAACAAAGCAGCAATGAAATTCTTTCATTCATCTTCTTGTCAGCATAAAAAAAAAAAAACCCACAAATTTAGTCAGCATCTTCTTGTCTCATCCAGCATTCTAGACAGAAAATTGTAGTCCCCTCACAATACCTCCTAGAAGGGAGGAGACATGGGCTGTGCCTTGACCGGGGTATTACCAGGCAGGTCTGTAATCTAGACAATTCAGAGAACTGCAAAAGTATGTGGTTGAGGTTTTTGACACAATTACAGTGGCATAAGAGTTGCCCGGTTGGATAAGTGGGAAGTTATTGTCAGGTATTTTCACAGAACAAGCCAGATTTAGAATGGAAACTCCTTAGGTTGCTGCAAAAGTTCTGTATTCCAAAATGACAGGCAGTGAAAGACAGACCAAAGGGATATTTTGAAGTTGGGTTGAGACCCCTGGCTGCTGTTCTTTCCTTAAAGTTGTAGTGACATTATTTACTCATTGGTTGAAATTCTTGCAATATCTTTTTTAATTTATTTAAATTGTGTCCCTTATAATTTTAGTTGAAAAAAAAAGCTATAGAGGATCAAATTTTGAAGCCCATGAATTCTGTGATGCAAGTACAAGACTACACGAATAAAAAAGTTCGTAAAATGCTCCGCATCACTAAATCATCGAACCATCACGCGATGCGTGGAAGACAAATAAAATAACGGATCTTGGCCACAATTTCCTTGTGCTTTACTTAGTTAGGCCACCAACCATTTCAGTTATACTGCCTGTTTAATTGGATCTAAATCTTTAGCAGACAGCATCTACCAATTGCCGTGAGGAACTTCTTAGAGAAAGCTGTATTTGTCACGCCGCAGAAATTACTTTGACATGTTTTTCGATCACTTTTTTTTTTATCTCGCATAGATCATATCGTTACAGTATTATTTTATTTTATTTTATTTTTATAAAAATTCCAAAAACTTACAATTTAAACGGGCTCTTTACTTTTCTATTTTCTAACTGTAACACTGGCTAAGGCTCTTTCGTGGTCATCCAATGGTAGAACAATTAATTTTTGTTACTTCCAAAAATTTAATCCCATAAAAGTTTGAAAGAACTATAATTCTTTGGTTAGATGAGGTGATTAATGTTGGCAAGTGTGATTAGGTTGAGAGATTGTCAATCTGATCATTCTTCATAACTGATAATTTGTGTATAAAATAATGACCCAAAATAAATTTTTTTTTTTTTTTTGGTTTTCTTAATGATGCACATCCTTGTTCTAACTAGTATTAAAAGTGGCGAGACTTGAGGCATGGTGTTCTTCAACACAAGTCCCATTGTTCTTAATGATTTACAACCCCGGATCCTCTGTTTTTGCAGTTGCTGCTGGATCCAATTCTGAATCCGATTATGGGTTCACTTGGATTTGGGGCTGGATCTTTACAAACGGGTCAGAAAATTGTGGTGCCATTTCACCTTAAATGACAGTTATGTTGGCACCAAAAGGTGCGTCTTCACTAGACATTTTAACCGCACATTGGGACGTGTATGAGAACTCATTTTCCTTTTACATTAATAAGTCTCTTAACAATTAAACAACTTTTCTGTATTTTCATCATTTCTTAATGAAAAAAAAAACTTGATTTTGCTATCAAATTCTCTCTCGTTCTTGTTATAGTGTGGTGGCAATTTGCCTTATCCTAGTAACAAATTACTTAGTTTAATGGAAGCAAATAACACCTCGAGACTAGTATAATTAACACATGCCTCAATTTAATTTGTATACCAAATATATATATATATATATATACATATATATATATATATATATATGAATTATTGAAGCATGCATATGAACCCTTTTTTTTTCTATTTTTTCTTCAAAGGATAATGGCAAGGAAGGAGAGCCCTGGCACTGCAAAGAAATAATGAGTCAATTCTACAAAACCTCAATTTAAATACAACAATTTTTCTTTGTAAGGAAAATAATAGCTTCTACAGCTGCAATAATGTAATTATTAACGCTTCTTTAAGCAAAAAATCGGTGGAGACAATTTTGTTTTGGTTAGATAGAGACCAAGCATTAGTGGTGTCAAAAATCTAAGTCATGTTCCATGATAGCTAAGGCATCAGCTGCGTGCTGCACTAAGCATTTTAATAAATACAAACCATGATTAGATATATATGCTGATATATATATATATATATATATATTTATTTATTTATTGGTAGAAAGATATGTTCAAATAAATATGGTTGAATTACCAATACACCTTGTGGTTTGTGCGGTCTAATCATAACCTCATGGTTGTTGTCAAATATATATATTTATATATATATGGTTAGATTCATTGTAGTCAAATGTCTATAAATATGTAGGCCTTTGTATCATTATTTTCAATATCAATAGACAATATGTTCTTTTCCTTCATTTGGTTTACAATTTTCGTCCCCTTCTATCAATTTTTACGAACTTACCTTCTGCCCCTTTGTGGATTTAAATTAAAAGGTCAGCTGAATAGAAAACTTAAAAGATAAACTATTTTCACATTATGGTCAAATGACCTAAAATAATGTCATACAGAGTTTTAGAAACAGTTAGAAGTGGATTACAAAAAAAAAAAATCATGAAATTTTAGCCCTGTAGAATCGATTTTCAACTGTAGAAAATATTTAATCTTGAGTAGTAAGTTTAATAGTTACGTTGGTGAATAAAATTGGGATTTTTCTAACGAGTGCCTTTGGCATTTTTTTAGACACTTATATCTTAAATTACACGTAAATTACTGTTTATATGCACACATTTACATTTATGGTCCCCAAATTAAATATTTTTTAAAATTAGTTTCACTTTTGCCAAAAAAAAAATTAACACTTGAATCAATTTTAACGAGTGTCCCGAAGGCCTATAAATTAATATTTTAGTTTTTGAAAAACTTCTGCTAGTAATTCCCCAAATGAGTTGTAAATGACCATTTGTATATGTGATATCATGAAAAAATCACTATGATTTTATTTTACCTTTTAATTCATCTTTTGGTTCAAAATACAAAGGGGTAAAATTAGACTTAAAAAGCCATTAGGAAATTAAGGGTAACATCCATAAACTACAAGGGAGATATTAGTAATTCATCTCTGTATCAGTAACAATACAGTGATATACATTAGAACACGAATTGGACACTCCTAGCTGTAATTTCCAAACCTTAATTAATCTACAAGCAACAAGCGGTAAGATTATTCAACATCTAAAATGAATTGATATGATTAGTGGTACTCATTTTTCACACATTAATTTCATACATTTATGCATTATTCTACTCAATGTATAAATCAATTCTTCTTAGGCAAAAGTCATCATTACAATACTTGACCTTTATAATTGTCATTAGGCTAGTGGTCTCTACAGGAAAGGTGTGGTAGGTTAATAACTTTGATGTTCTTCTTGCTTGGGTCAATCAAATAGTTGAGATGTGTCACCTAAGTTGGTGGAGAAAAGCATGTTCTATGATGTGGGATTGCTTCATACTAAAATTGAAAGAGTTCTTCAAGAAGTGTATTTCTCCTCTTCCTTCAACAGTCACCCATAAGACCAGGTTAATTTGAGTGAAAGCTGCCGTAATATTTCATCCTCTTCAGGAGTTGATTTAGCTCAGATTAGCTTTTTATTGTCCAGATGCCACTTTTATCTCAGTCCCGCCTCAGCCTTTTCCGGGGGATCATCCATTCCGCCAGTTCCTGATTTTCAGGAAATTCTTGGATAGATTGCGTTCTTTGTCATCCCACATTTTTCCGTCAATAAGTACTATATAAGAAGCAGGTTTTGTGCTTAACTTCTGTACAATACCCAACTTAGACACTTGAGTAGCAAACAAAGAAAATGGCTTCATTTCAACAGGCTTTTTCGTCCGTGGTGTTAGTGGTACTAGCAGTGGCAATTTTATTCGTTACACCGACATTTTCCACTTCAAGAAATGCAATTATGAAGGATGAAAAAGTGCAGAAGGCAACAGGATTTCAGGTAACTCTCAAACATGTCGATTCAGGAAGTAATCTGACAAAATTTGAGCTCTTGCAGCGTGCAATGAAGCGTGGACGACAAAGGTTGAACAGGCTTAGTGCTATGGCATTAGCTGAATCAGATCATGATGTCAAATCTTCAGTTCATCCTGGAAATGGAGAGTTTCTCATGCAGTTTTCCATTGGGACGCCATCAACTGCTTATTCAGGCATAATGGACACTGGAAGTGACCTGATTTGGACTCAATGCAAGCCTTGCCAGCAGTGTTTTGATCAATCTACACCAATCTTTGATCCCAGGAAGTCATCTTCATTTTCCACACTTTCATGCTCTAGCAGCCTGTGTGAAGCATTGCCAATGTCCTCTTGTGGTACTGATGGATGCGAGTATCTCTACACTTATGGGGATTATTCCACCACCCAAGGAGTTATGGCTGCTGAAACCTTTACATTTGGTGAAGTTTCTGTCCCAAAAGTTGCATTTGGCTGCGGTGAAGATAATGAAGGTAGCGGATTCGGCCAAGGAGCTGGTCTGGTGGGATTAGGCCGCGGTCCATTATCGCTTGTATCTCAACTTGACGAACCAAAGTTCTCCTATTGCCTAACTTCCATTGATGATAGCAGCACTAGCACTCTTCTAATGGGATCTTTGGCTAATGCCAACAACTCGGACACGGCAAGTAAAACCACGCCTTTAGTGGTAAATCCATCACAACCATCATTTTACTATCTTTCCCTTGAAGGGATTACAGTTGGTGGCACTCGCTTACCTATCAAGAAATCTACTTTTGCACTCAATAGCGATGGAAGTGGAGGCGTTATCATTGACTCCGGGACTACACTCACTTATTTGGAGAAAAGTGCGTTTGATCTAGTCAAGAAAGAGTTCACTTCTCAGATGAAACTTCCAGTGGACAAATCAGGCTCATCAGGGCTTGACCTTTGCTTCACATTGCCATCAGATGCAAGTGACATTGAAGTTCCAAAGTTGGTTTTCCATTTCAAGGGTGCAGATGTGGATTTACCAGGTGAAAATTACATGATTGCCGATTCAAGCGTGGGTCTAGCATGCTTGGCAATGGGAAGTTCAAGTGGAATGTCAATTTTTGGCAATGTTCAGCAGCAAAACTACTTGTTGCTTCATGATCTCCAGAAGGAGACTTTGTCGTTCATCCCAACAAAGTGCAATCAATTGTGAACAGCTCTTTGCAATTTATTGGTGTCCTCCTCAATATACTTGCATTTGCTGTTTGTGTGGGCAAATTAATGACTTTACTTTGATGACCTTGTAGCTTCCGATCAGCTCAATGAAATTACAAAGTTGAATTTGCTTTTAATGAGTTATTAATCAAGTTCTGTTTATATATAGTCCATTCCAATATTCATTGCACGTACATAGACTCAAAACCATCCCACATTAATGAGTTGAACACTCTATATAAATATAAGTTAATTAGAAAAAATGTATAAATGTAAAGGAAGATAGTAACTGTTAGTGTGCGTGTAT